CAGGACCTGGCACTCGGCCTTTTTGAACCTCATACAGTTGGTGTCGGCCCATCGGTCCAGCCTGTCCAGGTGCCTCTGCAGGGCCATCCTACCCTCAAGCAGATCGACACTCCCACCCAACTTGGCGTCATCTGCAAACTTACTGACGCTGCACTCAATCCCCTCATCCAGATCATCGATAAAGATATTAAACAAGGCTGGCCCCAAAACAGAGCCCTGGGGAACACTGCTCGTGACCGGCCACCAACTGGACTTAACTCCATTCACAACAGTCTTAAACAGGACTAAGAAGGGTTTTACCACCGGAATTCCTTCATTTGTATTTGAAATATCCCATGCACTTCACAGAGAAGATATTTTCATGCACAGGCAATGCTATGAATTTAACAGCTTAGGTCTCTGGGCAAAAGGACTAGCTAAGGGATGGCTTCAGGGCACACTGCTGTTCCTGACAACACAGCAGGTAACCAGAAAGCAGCAGTGCTTCATGAAATGGTGCTCAGCATCACTCAGCAGTCTAGGGGCTACACAGGTGGAGCCAGGTCACTTCAAACTGCAGGTTTGCCTACCCCAGGCCTCATGTGACAAAGGGAGCTCTTGAGAAACTAATTGCCCTTTTAGGTTCAATACATGAATGAATACATGCAATTAAAGAGCAGCATACAGGAAGAGTGATCTCTTCTGGGAAAAGATTGAGAATCACTAGCTCAGTGAATAAAAGATGCTTTTCCATGTGCAAAGCAAAACCACCACACCAAATCTGACACAGGGTTATCACTGCCATCCCTTATGCTTGCAAACAATTCCCCCCTTCCTCACTCATACACAGTACGAGGTGAGCCATCCTCAGAATGAGAGGTCCTAGGTAAGGAACACTGAAAGCTGCATGCCAGCTCTGATCATTCCCTTTGAGCACAGTTTGCAGAGAGTCATAGTGAAGCAGGACAGCTTTTGAATGTAACCACCCCTTCAATGCTATGAAAACAGTCAGTGCTACAGGGAGAGGTGATATTTCAGCAAAACCAGTACATTTAGTGGTGCTCTAAGACAGAAAAATGTTGCAAAGGAAGCAGCAAGTGGGATGATCTCAGCAGAATCAACCACAGCTGGAATATAATGCCTAAATACATGGTAGAGAAGGCAATCAGCTGGCTAGCCTTTTATTGCAAGGAGGAAGCCCTCATCTCACTAGGCAAATACTGCATCTTTTTTTATCTAGTTTCTCTGTAGCTAACACTCAGACTGCATCACCCAGAGGCAAGGTCAACTAGACCAACTGTCCAACAAGGAGGGGCAACTCAAAACCACATGCAGTAAGCTCTGGGCAGAAAACGCTCCTGGATTCAGGGTGAGGAATGCAATACCACCATTCCTAACTGCCTCCAATTTATAAGGGAGGGTCTGCAGGGGTGGCCTCTGTGAGGAGGCCTAAGCTGCTCCATGCTGGACACAGCCAGCTCCAACAGACCAACCAAAGGACACAGTTGAGCCCCACAGCCAAGACAGTGGCACCTCTGGGAAAATATGTAAGAAGGGTAAAAAACACTGCACAGCAGCTGTAAGAGGAGTGAGAAAAGTGTGTGAGAAAGAGCTCTGCAGACACCAAGGTCAGTGGAGAAGGAGGGGGATGAGGTGCTCCAGGTGCCAGAACAGAGACTCCCCTGCAGCCCATGGAGAAGACCACAGTGGAGCAAATACCCACACTGCAGCCTATGGAGTAACCCATGCAGGACGACATGCCCTGGAGGAAGTCGCAGCCCACAGAGAGGGGCCCACACAGCAACAGGCTCCTGGTAAGAGCTGCAGCCTGTGGGGGGCCCGTGCTGGAGCAGTCTGTTCCTGAAGGACTATACTGTACAGAGACCCCTGTTCTTGAAAGACTGTATCCCATGGGAAGGACCCATACAAGAGCAGGGTAACAGTGTGAGGATGAAGGAGCAGCAGAGAAAAGCTGTTACCGACTGACCACAACTTGCATGCCTATGGAGAGGACCCAAGCTTTTCTCTGAAAAGCAGATTTAAAAAGCAACACTTCTGGCTCTAGCACTCCACCATTTTTGCAAGTGCATGTTTCTTTTTAATGAATGAGCGTGCTTAGAAGCTCTGTTTAGTAACACTTTGGAAATAACACGCTTAGGATGTTCAGTCTTCCCGTATCTCCATATCACAAAGCTTTTTGTTTAAAGATGAATAGATTCTAAAATAAACACATGAGGAAAAGGCTTCACCAGGAATACATCACAGAAATTAAACGGAACAAATAAGAGTAGAGTATTACATAATGTCCCCATAAGTATATTACCAGAATGTATTCAGGTCAAGAAGGTCCAAGCTAGCCTCAGCTTGCATTTTAAAAACCTGCTGTACTATAACTTGACTTGCGTGTTTCTTTTCTAAAGCTTCAGAACAATCTTTAAAATCTGAATACAATCAAAATAGCATTCTGCTATCTAGAAAGTAAGTTTGCAGGTGTTTGTGTACCCTCAGTTCTAAGAGCTCTCAGAGGAAACTCCAGCTCCTAAGAGAAGGCTAGCAATGCTAGAAATCCTCTCGCATCGTAAGTATCAGCACGGCATTATACAGGAAACCCTTGCTACTTGGTGCATAATGTATCTACATTCCCAGAATACAGAGCTAATTAAAACAGCCGTCACAACAAGTGGATCTATTAAGACACTAATTGACCTTGACTAAGCTGAAAGACAAACACACAGAGCAGCAGAAACTGTTGAGAAACAGAACATTGGAAACATACTTACCTAAATTCAAGAAATCTGAGCTGGAAGAAGGAGGAAGTGAACTGTGTGTGGAAGGAAATGTACTAGCGGTAGATGTTGAGCTTGGATTAAGAAAGTCCCCAAAGAGGTCTGGACCAGGCAGGGCTTGATTCTCTGAACTTGATGACATTGTGAATGGGTCAAAAGGATCAGCTAAAAAAGATGCAGAAAACAAAATTATGTTATGACAAATTTTAGAATAAACAAAGTTGAAAAACCCTTATTCCTCTGGGGACATAGACAAAAAGTAGAGTTCATATTGGTAACTGCAGCAGCCTTCTGAGAATTTTTTGTGGCGAAGAGTCACCATCTGTTTCTTCCTCTAGACTTCTGTACTTTCATGTTAGTACAAAAAGTATTTCAGCCATACACAATAGGAATAGCTATGTCTTCAAACACAAATCCTTAGCAAGACTGCATATATTCAACAACATTTTTAATTTCATCCATGTAAGAGACATTAAATTTCAGTGATCAACTGCATACAAACAGAAGAATTACATTTGTTAAATATGCTCTCTAATTCCAAACATCCAAAGAATTTAAACAAAACAGACTATTAAACTACTAAAAAGAATATGAAGTAAAACATTCATACTACCACTTTGACTTGAAGGCATTGGTGACTCTGGGGCAGAAAGTGCGTCAACTCAAGAATGAAAACCAACAGAAGCAAGGCTTTCAACAGGTCTCTAGTGATCACAATGAAGAAAAAACTAATTGGAAGAGTATTTATAGGCAGCATGGGGTAACATGTGACAGTCAGCTGGAATCATGGCTGGAGATCTTCCCATTTCTGCTGCCCTCTAGGGTCAAAATCCTCAAGAGCCCATGGACTCCTGCCAGATTCACTCAGAAGCTGAAGAAAAGGAATAATCCTACCATAGTACCCTAGCACATCCTGAGGTGATGACCACATTGTACAGGACTCAGTAACACTTCAAAAATCAAACCCTGGATTGTCATCAAGCTATCTTACTACAGCATCACACATACACAAAACCTCAAGTACAAGTTTGATGTGCAAACTGAAATACAACAGTGGCCAAATATTCTCACTTCTGCAATTATCCTTCTCTTATCCAATTCAGAATGAGATATATACATGACTACTGCTCAGGCGTTTTACAGAGTAGTATAAGAAAGGCATAGTTAAAGAAAGAAAGTAATAAAGCTTCTCTTTCCTAGACTTCTGCCTATGTAAAAAGGTAAATTAAGTCATTCCTGACTGACCACAGTAACAAAGTTCAATACTGAATTGCTTCAAAAGAAATACTTGAAATCACCAAAATGCTCTACAAAAACACTTTGCAGTTGTATGTAGATTAAAGCTTTTAGTCCAAGTGAGTTACCTTTGTGCAAATAAGCTAAAGCTTCTAACAGTTTCCCACATTATTTGATTAATATTCCCAAAAATCTTACCATCACTTCAGGCAGAGAACTGCTATTCCCAAAAGTTTAGTCATGTGACAAAGAGCTAACTATGCATTGGTAAGAGGAACAGAACCTCTAAACTAAAACACCTTGTTTTAAATACCAAATAGGTAGCAGTGTGTAACGTTAATTGTCTTGCAGGATACAGACCTCCAACAACGTCAGTAAAGCCAGCAAGAAAACACCTTTCCGCAGTACCATTACCCTACTGGTTTGAACAGTAATCTAAAGGATTTCCAGTTGTCTAGCAGTCTTACATGATTAACACTCAAAAATCCCACACAGACATTTGACCTAAGCAGCACAGCTCTGTACCACATTTAACGCTATTGCTTTACATAAAGTGCAAGAAAACAGTAAGTTATTATCATTCTATGCCTCAGCGAGAGAAGTTATTTACACGTGGATTTACAAAAGGATCTAGCATGTAACATTTGTATGGGAAAGCTATAGATTCTTCAAGAATACTGAATCTCCTTTAGATTCAAAATTTGGTACTTCTGTTTACATGGTTTAAAGGTTATAGGATATTGGCAACATAACAAAACACCTGGATAATATACAGCAATTTCTACCCTTCATGCAGTAAAACCACCTATTCTTGATATATACCAACATCTTCAGCATACAGATCAAAACATGGTACTCATTTTCAAAGCACAATGCAAGCACCAGTTTTTAATCTGCTGGCCAGCTGAAGAGCACTGATGTTAAATTTACATACCTGAAGACATAGCTGCTGCTGAAGATGTACCCTGAGTAGCAGCTGGACACTGAGACTGATTGGTGAAAAAGAAATCTGTTCCTTGTCCAAGAAGATCTCCAGTGGGCTCTTCTGAAATCTGTGATGCATTACCCACAAACAGATTGTTCAACAAGTCTGCATTACTTGATGAAGAGTTTATTTCTGAGATAGGTTGTTTCTGCTCTGGTGAAATATCAGAGTCTAGCCCCAGTAAGTCTACATTCTCTTCAGGAAGAGATTTTTGTAATGGTGCAGATGGAACTTCAAAATTGGCTTCAAAAAGCAATTCTCCTTCTGGAGTAATAGAGTCTTTTTGATCAACAATTACTGCACTTTCTTCACCTGGAAATGTAGGGATTTCCTCATCTGAAGGGTCACTTTCCTCCCTGTCATCAGATAGTTGAACACGATCATTTTTAGATGAACTGTCCTCTATTCCACTTTCTGGACTTTTTCCTTCTTGAATAAAAAGAAATAACAGCTTTAGATTACCAGGATTATTCTGCCAACTAGGATAATACAGACTTGTATGGTGAGATCATAAGAAATCAATCCTTAATTAAAGCTCACAAAAGAATTGATGAAAAAAGAACTAACTGTTGCCTACCACCTTTTCGTACAGGGCAGGCAAAGGGGCAGCTCACTACCATACTTACCACTTTGCAAGGGCAGGTACTACTTTGAAAATGAGACTGACTTGGACATTCACCTCAGTACATCATACCACTTATGGCTTAGAAGGTCACTAAGTAAGTGCTGCTCCATTCAACGACGGCAGTTAACGACAGCACAAGCAGTTACTGACATTTTTGCCAACAAAACAGAACCCAGAAAAAAGGACTTACACATGCACTATCAAGTTACATTTTCTCAGTCAGTACATACTGATCTGGACCCCACTGGCTAGTCTACTTTGTTTCCTCTGTTCCTCAGCCAGCCTAAGTGGGGCTATGGGAATGCAAAGGCTTCCTTGCAGACCTTTACGGTTAAGATTTTTGCAGAAAAAGAAAAATTTAGCTCAGCATTTAAGTCACACACGATACCAAAAATCATTATTTGGTGTTTATCCAAATGAAGTGGAATGACCACTTGTTAACCTGCAGAGTTCACTCTTTAAATAGTTTTTTTTCTCATGGTCTGACTTTTGCTGCATAAGAAGGCTTAAGCACTCATTGGAAGGTGTACCAGACAAATATACAACAAACAGTTACTTCAGAGTAAAATCTGTACCTTTCCAGTCCAGAGAATGAAAGAAGTTATTTGCATCAGTACTGCTGCTGTGCGGGGATTCTGTCTCAGTAGGTGCACTTTCTGAAGACTGGTCCAGCTGGGATGCTTCTGCTTCATATTGTGCAGTTGAACCTGGTTGTCTAGGCAGCTCTGGTTTCCCTATAAGATAAATTTTAAGCCAGAATCCTTAGAGAGAAACTTCTAAAACTCAATCCTGCTCATAGCACCTGGTATTTGACTTGCAGACTGACTGTTATAGCAAGACAATGTCTCAAAGTATTTATTACTTGGCAAAGGCAAATTCACACCCCCACCCCCCTATTTGAAATTAGCATTAACTTTATTTCAACTGCAAGGGCTGGTAAAACCCTATGGTCAACTATAACATTAAATTAAATGAGACTTACAGCAAAACACTCAAACATTCTATTTACTTTTGTAAGAAAATGGAGTTAACACCTCACTTGTACCAACCATCCCCTAAAATAGGCAAGATCTATGAACAACCTCTGCAATAAGGAACAGAACATCAGAAAAGAGCAAATGCAGCTATAGAAAAAAAACAGAGTATAAAGCCAGAGAAGAACATGGAGCTGATAAACATCTCAAAGGAATCCAGTCGCAGCACAAAGTGTATTACTAACTACTCCTGACATTTCTTATTTTACTGAGACCAGACATTAAGTGACTCTTGCATAAGACTGAGTTGGGCTGAGTTACCTACCACTATACCATCTCTCAAAAAGGAGGTTTCCTTAAGGCAAATAAGACTGTTCCCTAAATTAGTTAATGTTCATCCACTATTTGAAAAGAATGGGATGAATGCTTGGGAGAAGGCTGTTTGTCTAAACATAAATACCAAACTGATAGAGCACTTTTTCACCCTCCTTCCACATACCCAGTTGCAGCTTGCAGAAATGCTGAAAAAACAGTCTGTTTCGGAAAACATACATAAAAGATCATGATTAATGAAATAGTGCAAAACCAACTTTAATAAGGCAAGCTTTATAAAACCAGTTCACAGCACTTGCTTTTGTCCTATTCCCTTCCCACTAGTTTTAAGAAATATTTTCAATAGAATTTGAAACCCTTACATTTCATTTACCAGTCAGAAGATTAAAGTGACTCAAAAAAATAAGTAATTTTTACAGATCCTTATTATCAATGAAACACCTTAACTTTAGTGAGTAAGAGTTGTGTTCACAGTAGGATCTTTAAAATCTATACAAACTAACTTAAATAGAAAATTATGTAAATCATAATACAAGCCAAATACATCCTGCTAAAAAAGACAAGGCAGCAGCAACTACCTTGTATCAAAAGAAATGTAATTCAGATGTACCATACTGACAGGCTTAAGAGCCTTAGTGAAAATGTCAAAGCTAATTACTGATACTAGGAGAAGAAGAAAGATACTGAACAGCATTAGCTGGAATTAATGCAGGCATTTACAGATGAAGCACAGAATACATAGTATTAAAAAATTTGAACATCTGCTAGACCACATTAGGAACAGTTGAGAAGCTGAATTGCAACATTACTTGGCTATGCATAAGGACCTAGATAAAAATGTTTTTAGTTAAGGCCATTTGTGAGGAATGCTCATGGTGCCAGTTCAGCCAAATACAGTTCTTTCAAGACATTTTGCCTACAAATCCTGGCTGTCACAATCCCTGCAAATAGCATATTCATAGCTTTAAAGCAAGCAAATGTAATGACAGCAGAGGTAGGACAAGGATAATTATAATCCATTATTGGAGGATAATTTATACTCCTTCATACAATGCAAATTTTTAAGTGATATTTACAAAAAAACACCTTTTAAATTTCTTTCACTTAAAGGAATGTCAGAAATTAAACAAAAGCCTCAAACACTAAGTCCATTAGAAACTTCATCATGTTCTCTAGTTTTTCAAGAGATTCATTACCAAATTTTGATAAAATCTCTTGTTGCTCCTCTCGGGTGGAGAAAAGGATCTTGGGATTCAGTCCCTTTATATTCATGTTATCCCACGGTGGCTGTTCACAGCTAGGTCTATCTCTGGGCTCCACCTCTACTTCCAGATTGACTTGAAATAAATCAGGATATTTTTCTTGTATGTCACAGGCATCCAGATCATACCTGCAAAGATGCATACAAGTCGATTCTTGATACTGATGGCTAACTAGATTAAATTCACTGCAGCCCAAGACAGAACTTGAAAGCAATTAGAATAAGGCTTAAAACATGCTGTATTTGTTTACTTTTCCCATATATTTTAAACAGGTGGTATTTTGGTACAGAAATTTTTTTTGCATCATGAACAAAACCTTCAGTTTCCTTGAGCTGAGAAAACAAAAGAACCTTCTTACTGCAATCCAAGTCATCTACTTCCTACACTGACTATATTTCCTCCCCCCACCATACGTTGATTTGGCAGGTTAAACAGTTTCAAAGAAAACTTCTTCCAGTCTCCTACAAAAGGGTCTCAACATACTTGGCAAATTTCACTGTGGTGGCATTTCGGGGCACAAAACCTGTGTGGAACTGAATCTGAAACATCTTCATTGAAGCCATCTGTTGAAAACAAGAAATACAGGGAAACTGCATAAATCCACATGAACAGTATGCAGTGTTCTGTCTTTACTATAATGCAAAGTATTTTCAGTATTAAAATATTTTTAAAACTGTTTTGCTACCATTTCAGTTAATTCCACGTACACTTTGTCTTGAGAGGTTTAAATGCCGTTTAAGACAGAATGTAGGTAAGTCTACTACTACCAGAAACAAACCAAAAGATCTTGAACCAGATACCTATCATTGCTAACCTCAGACTATCAAAGTCTTAAGTATTTCCAGACCCTGTTCCAGGGGCTGAAACTACATGACCCATATTACTTTTCTGAATAACATACTCAGAAAAACGCATTGTGCAATACACTAATCAAGAAATATATGTCATATATAACAAAATCCATTCAGGACAGTTTTAAAGGTAGCACATTTAAAAGGACACTTCATAAGACCCGCAAAGAGTTTTTTCCTGTGCAACTTCTGATGTTAGCCATTCATCCCAGACAGAATTATAGGACTTTTCCAAACTGATTCATGATAACCATTCAACTTTCCAAACTCTTTCTTCTGCTGAAGAAGAACTTTTCCCATGCCTGATCAGCATGTCAGAATCCAGAAAATGCTACTATAGAAGGTTCATGTAGCTCCTGGTCTTGCACAAATCCAAATTACAGCAAAGTGATAAATCCACAATGTATTTGCTCCCTGGCTTTAGTTATAACACACGTGGAATAGTCTGCCAGTCCTCACAAAGCAAGTCATACAGTAATAGTCCAGTAAATATAATAAAATTGAATGATGAAAGCTTTCCTTGTAAGCAAGCATTTATTGAACATCATAATCCAAAGTCAATTAACAGGCAAAGCATTGCTAGGCAGGTTGAGGGAGGTGATCTTTCCCCTCTATCCAGCACTGGTTAGGCTGCATCTGAAGTCTTGTGTCCAGTGCTGGGCTCCTCAGTACAAGAGAAACACAGACATACTGGAGTGAGTTTCTCTGATCCATCCATTCCTACCCTGAGCTACATATGAAAACCTTAACACCCTATTAAATCAGTTTTCTTAATCCCTTGCTACGCAAGACATTTCCTACAACATAAACTAAATCCTCTCAAATTAACTGTAAGCAAGTGGGAGACATTCACAAAGCCCAGCTCTAGGCACTTAACATCAATATTCAAATGTGGTGGTTGATCCCTGTAAGAGTTCTGCAGAGCTTCAGGAGGCAATTAAGACCACGTAAAACTAAGGACACATTGAATACTGATCCATCAAAACTCCAAACCAGGATCATCACAAACACTGTTGGTATATCATGTGTTATAGCAGACAGATGAGAAAATTCTCATCTTTTCCAGTTAGTGAATAAATGCCAGGGAAACCACAAAGAAACCCTATCACCAGTGAAACTGAGATTGCACAAGGAGTTTAAGCTAACCTTTGCTGAATTTTCCTCAGTTGTATGCCTTCTTCACTGATGACCTTGAACCATACACTAGTTATTTTTGTGCATTAGAGAATCATTTCACTGAGCTTTCAGTTTTAGGATGTTCTGGAAGATCTGGCCCCATAGCACTCTGGGGACATTAAGAAAGTCTTGAACCTCTGCAACACAAGATTTGATACTCACCTCCCTACACACAAAGCAGAAAAAACATAGGGGAAACCATTTATTTCAGTAATAGCAGATATATATGAATATCTAGAATCATAGATATAATATGCTTGTTTGCGTCAAATGTATGGAAACACTCTGAAGATTCATAGAATGCTTTGGGTTGGAAGGGACCTTTAGAGGTCATCTAGCCCAACCCCCCTGCAGTGAGCAGGGAGAGCTTTAACTAGATCAGGTTGCTCAGAGCCCTATCCAACCTGACCTTCAATGTTTCTAGGCATGGGACTCCACTACCTCTCTGGGCAACATCTGCCAGTGCTTCACCACCCTCACTGTGAAAAATTTCTTCCTTATATCCAGTCTAAATTGGAACAGGCTGCCCAGAGAGGTGGTAGAGTCACCATCCCTGGAAGTGTTCAAAAAACAGGTAGATGTAGCACTTTGGGACATGGTTTAGTGGACATGGGGGTGTTGGGTTGATGGTTGGACTGATCTTAGAGGTCCTTTCCAACCTTAATGATTCCCACTTTTTACTTTCATTAAAAATAATCCAGCCACCAAGCCAGGAAACACGAAATTGCTACTCTACCCTTAATTGGTTTAGTGGTGGACTTGGTAATGTTAGGTTAATGGTTGGACTGGATGATCTTAAAGGTCTTTTCCAACCTAAAAGATTCTATGATTCTATGATTCTAAATCTATCCTCCTTTAGTTTAAAACCATTACTCCCTGTCCTGTCACAACAGGCCTTGCTAAAAAGATTCTCCCCATCTTTCCTATAGGCCCCCTTTAAGTACTGAAAGGCCACAATAAGGTCTTCGCACAGCCTTCTCTTCTCCAGGCTGAACAACCCCAACTCTCTCAACCTGCCCTCATAGGAGAGGATTTTGGTGGCCCTCTTCTGGACCCGCTCCAACAGGCCCATGTCCTTCTTGTGCTGAGGACTCCAGAGCTGGACGCAGTACACCAGGTGAGGTCTCACCAGAGCAGAGTAGAGGGGCAGAATCACCTCCCTCGACCTGCTGGCCACGCTTCTTTTGATGCGGCCCAGGATTCGGTTGGCTTTCTGGGCTGCAAGCGCACATTGCTGGCTCATGTCCAGCTTTTCATCTACCAGTACCCCCAAGTCCTTCTCTGCAGGGCTGCTCTCAATCTCTTTATCCCCCAACCTGTATTGATATCGGAGGTTGCCCCATCCCAGGTGCAGGACCTTGCATTTGGCCTTGTTGAACCTCATGAGGTTCACACAGGCCCTCCTCTCCAGCTTGTCCAGGTCCCTTTGGATGACATCTCGTCCTTCTGGCATGTCAACCGCCCCACTCAGCTTGGTGTCGTCTGCAGACTTGCTGAGGGTGCACTCGATCCCACTGTCTATGTCATTGATGAAGATGTTAAATAGAACTGGTCCCAGTACAGACCCCTGAGGGACTCCACTTGTCACTAGTCTCCATGTAGACATCGAGCTATTGACCACGACCCTCTGGATGTGACCATCCAGTCAATTCCTTATTAACCGAACAGCCAACCCATCAAACCCACATCTCCCCAATTTAGAGAGAAGGATGTTGTGGGGGACTATGTCGAACCTCTGGATCAATTCTCACAACACTCCAAGCTATCCTAAACTTTGCACTACCCCTTCCTATTTTTTACATGGATGTCCACAAGCTTAATTTGGGTTACTCATCCAGAGAACACATGTTTATTTTTTAGAAATTTGAAGACAGGCTTCACTCAAGTTTTTTGTGATCTTACAACACATTTGCATCCATAGTTGAATTAGAAAAGGAAACATGCATTCTCCCTAGGAGAACAAAGACTAGTAAGAAAATTGGCTATAAAAACTCAACCCGGCTCTGGCAATAGGGTACAAAACTACATGGATTTTTGTACAGGCAGTCCCTGGAATTCCACTTTTCTATTGAGTGATTACTTCTCCTTTCATTGCAGTTTGTGTGTACAGAATTAAAAAGTTCTGGCTTGTTGTACAACTTAATAGATAACCATCACTGCCTCAAACTGGCTAGAAGCTCTCCATGCAAATATAACAACTATCACTACTGAAGTACTTTCCAGAAATGCTTACCAAAGCATCTACATGCAGAACACTAAGAATGGACATACTTATTAGGTTTGAGAAGGCTGAATTCTGAAGTACATGAAATCTCACACACTCCTTTCAACAAAGAACAGCAAATAAAGACATATACTTAAGATCAGATACAAGTATGATACAAAACTGCAACAAGAAAAAGCAAATCCTCCATGTAGGCTGTTAAATTTATCATTACCTTGGCTTGTAGTCGGCCTCCTAGTGTTGACCTGGCATGATAGATCACAATGAGAACATCTCCCTGGACTGTTATACCTAGTGGAATTACTGCTTTCCCATCTTCAATTTTAAACTCCCTGAAGAAAAACACATAACCACGGTTAATTTCGTTTTTAAAAAATAGTGTATTACCTTATGCTTAGTTTAGTTTCTCCAAGGCCTTCAATATCAACCCATAAAAAAACATCTGCTTCAAGTTCTTATTACAAAGAAGGAATTCGCTCTAAATAATTAAAACTTAAAAGCCGCTCAAAAATAACAAGATTAACAGTTGCCTACAGCAGAGCAACAGACAGACCCATAGTTCTCAAATCAAATATGGGAGAAATGTGTCTTCAAGGAGCTGCTGGGAAATGCAAGAGACGGGATAATGTGAAGAAAGCTGTTCCAAAGAAAAGTACAGAGAGAAACTGTAGTTGCACTGCTGTGTTATGTTAGGACTACCACTTAGGGACAGTGGTAGAGAAAAACAGGGGAAAATGTTACTGTAACACCCCACAGCTGTTTCTGTTCCTGATCTTTTCAAATTCATTAAGCTCCTTACAAGGCTTGGATTTGTAGGAAAGCTAGAAGTGCTTTGGTATTCCCTCTTCTTTCCTCTATCTGTGATTATCTAAACCTAGTAGTGCTAGTACCATTTGCCATTCCTGTGCTGTATTACAACAGCAGACACCAGAGCTGTACAGGGGCTAATGAACACTCCCCTTACAGCTACTGTGCCTGAGGGATCTTTACTGTTTCCATGACTGAGATATGATGTTCTGTTCAGTACACATACACCAGGGATCAATCTTCCTAGTTTACACCACATGGAGTGAGTGGTGCCACCCTACCATCATCCCCACTTTCTGCAGGAACAGATCCAAGCTGCTATTACATTGTCTCTTCCCCATGATTTACCTTTGAAATCAGCTAAAAGGGGACAGAGGAGCTGTTCCATATGTTAAAGAAGCTTTCTGCCTAACTGGCACATGCAAAAATCATGCTTTCTTCTCACAATAAGGACTTCATATTTAACTTAGTCTAGAAAAACATAATGTGCTGTTTCAGAACAAATCATAAGCTGTACTTACTTCATTTTGTCATACTCCTGGGAGGTCGTGGTTACTCTCTCATCTCCCACATAAACTTCACAGAAAGGCCTGCAGCCATTACGCTGCTTACTGAAAAGAGGAACTGGAGTCATGACGATTGATCTGACAAGGATGGGCTTGCTGTGAGGAATAATGGGTTCTTCAGCCATCATGTCACACATGTATTCAATGTATCTGCCAAAATCAAAAGGCACTCACTTAGCCAGAGCACCAAACTGTAAAATTGGGTGAGTTACTTCTGTTCATATCCAGCCTCTGAACAGTGACAAATGATAACAATGCAACACTTGGAACACTTAACAGCACTTCCAGCAAACAGATTTTCAAATCTCATAGAATTTCACAAAAGGAAAATGAAATAGAAACATGAAGAAATATTTATGATCCCTAGCCAGCCTCTCAATTTAAGGACAGCAACACAGTTTCTGTACAAGAACCTGATGGCTACATCATAAAAGAAAAATATATTGCCCAGAAAATTGAATACAGCACTGCATATGAACTCATCTGCACCTGTGTCTTACCCTCCAGACAACTCCAGACATTGCCTTAGGTCTGTAGCTTTACACATATTCACTTGTAAAACAAACTAGCCACTCTTTC